TAATTTGTACTTTATTTTTCTATTTGTGTTTCACGGCTTTCAGATTCTGTCTATTTGCCTTCAGCTATAGGTCTGTAGATGCGATGACTTGCTTAATTTGTCTTTGTTTTTAAAGTTTGTTTAAACCTCCTCCTGTAGGAAACAGATTTTAAAAAATGTATAAGTAATAGATTTAAGGCGGGACTGATGATATCAGTAAAGTCTCAAGTGCGGACCAATGATTCGATTCCGTCAACTTCTAACGGGAACGTGAATCACGTTATGGAAAGTAAGGGGGTTAGGCATAAAACTGACCATCTTACCGTTTTTATACATTTTTCACAGAAACAGGTAAACTCTACTTAATATATATTTGTTATATTACTTATTAACGGCGTAGTGAGTTAGACTGCTAACCGTAAGTCAAAAGTTCGAATCCAGGTTCAAATTAGTGGAACGTCCCTGAGTCTGATTGGTACCTAACTCGCGTTATTGAAACAAAGTTGGCTAAGAATAATGCTGAAAATGCTATTCATTCTTCTGCCTCATATGTCTTTGACACGAAAGGGCGGATGAATAGAAGGTGTATATTGTTAATTTTAATATTCTACATTCTCATATGAGTTTTTGAGGGTGATGTAAAAATGCCTGTGATTTTTTTTCTACCTAAATAACAAACTAGATGTCTTGCCGTCCTCATTTGTCTAGCCTCATCTGTAAGAGGGTTTGAACTCCAGACCGACCACGCCTGCTCAAAATCGGCGGTTATATACGTTTTTAATAGAGGTATGAATACATAAATAAGTATATATATAAATATATATATATATATATATATATATGTTTATATATATATATATATATATACAGAGCGAGAGAGAGAGAGACAGTAAGAGAGAGAGAGAGAGGTAACTTACTTGTGTTTGTATCTGCCGTTTCCTCGTTGTAACGTGCTTAACTTCAATGATAGATTATAGTTCGGGTTAAATGATAATTCACAAAGAAAACGTACATGTAACATGTGTTGTGATGTAATATTGTAAACGTAATTGCTTTAGATTCATATGGCAAAGGAAATATTTCCTAAAAAACAACTTTAAAATAACTTGTATGTTATATTTTTTAGTTTTTTTTCCCTAATATTCATACAAAAATTATTTATTTTCATTATTCTTTTCCCTGGTTTAACCATGGGCTTAATGCAAAATAGTAGTACCACAACAACATCCTCGACAAATTAGTTTTGATTTCTTTTAATTATACATCTGGAGGCTAAAATATATTATTTAAATAAACACAACAATTAACGCATTAAATTTATATTGCATTTGTTCAAACAGTAAACGTTTAAGAGACAAGGTGCCTGCTATAAATTTTAATGTTAATATATGTTTATTAAAAAAAGACTGATATGCATCTTTTTAATCAAGAAAAGAGTTATTGTCAATATACATAATATTTATGTTAATTGTAAGTATTTAAATAGATTTTACAACTCCAATATATATTTGACCAACAGAATGTTATTTATTTTGTTGGTCTAAATAAGCAATTTTAGTTATTTTGTACAAAAATAGTTACCTTCTTGTCAATTATTTCAGAAAAGGTTTGCGACAATCTGTGAAAAAAAAGTATTTTGTTGATAAGAAAGTCATATCAAATGAGAAACGAAGAGTTATTAGTCCAATGCGCCTACCCCTCTCCTCCCAATACCACAATATAGCACTTTAAACACCCAAACTTCATTTAACCTAAAAATTCAACCATATGCAGAATTAGACCCTCAAAAGGGCTCAAACATTTAAATACGAGTCCCGCTGTGTGGTATATGTTATTCGCTGCAGGAGATGTGACATCAATTACACAAGAGAAACGGTTGCCTGCAGTGTTTCTTCCAGACTTTTTTCTCCGGGGGGGGGGACTTGAAATTTTGGGGGGGGGGTAGACTTTCTTCCGGGGGGGGGGGGACACTGTTAAAAGTATATATTTTCTATATAAATTGAAGCCCCCCCCCCCCTCCCCGAAGAGATGCCTGGAAGAAACTCTGCTTGCCTGACATGCTGTACAAAGAGCCTCATTGTTCGGAATCTATGCACTTGAAATAGACTTTTTTTATGTTACAAACACTAACTATATACTTACTATTTTTACTACATATATCTAATATTATTTGTCATAATATTAGATATATGTAGTAAAAATAAAAAAATATAAAATATAAATTTGTCATCTATATTTTAGATTTTTTAATTATGTATCACCCCCCCCCCCCCCCCCCCCTCCGTACACACACATTCAACAGTTGCATTTCGGACATTTTTGTTCTAAAATAAATCAACGCTTACTGTTCAAAATCATTTCTGCGGAGCACATTGTCATCATCTTTTGTTTTGATCGACTCCAGGTAGGATTTGACCATGATGTTCTCCCAGCGCATTAGTCTTCTTTTGTCAGTCTTGTCGTCTATGTAGCCATCATTTTCATCTTCTAGAAGTAGACGAATGAAACGGTTACAACATTTCCAAACACATTTCTATAACGTTATTTGAAATTAGACGTACACTGTATTCAAGCTTTAACGATTTTAACTCTTATATAACACATTGCAAAACAAAGCCACAGCTACAAAGAATATCTCAATTTGTGGTTTGATATTTAAATAGTAAATACTGATGTTTTACATCTTCAGAAAATACAATAGGTTAACATAATTCGAAGTATTCTCCCCTAGCATTAAGGATAGTTACAATGACATTGATAATTTAATTTTTAGCTTCAAATGTGTAATGTGTTAAGATATACTATTTTGATCTGATGTATTTTTCCGTGCTACTATGTGTTGGTTAGATTAATAAACTAAATAGTTATTAGAATTATAATGTACAAATAAAGATAGATGTTACTAACTTGATTTGAATGTTCTATAAATAGCCACTATCCACTTCCAAATGTTCGGGATAATGTACAAATAAAGATAGCATGTTACTAACTTGATTTGAATGTTCTATAAATAGCCACTATCCACTTCCAAATGTTCGGGATAATGGTAAAAGGATGAGGGATGATGGACCGCTGGGAATACTCAAAGATTATATTGAATTGCTGTAAGCTCGAAATGAACTTGGTCTTCCTCTCAACGATATTGAAAGTATTACTGCAAGAAAAAAAAACACATAATTTTGCACATACTATTTTTTTTCTCCGGGATAGACGACCAGGATAGATAACTCTGATGCTGCTTTAAGGTTACTAAAACAACCCGTGAGGTAACAGTCACGGGTTAAAAAATCTGTCGAAATTGTAGCAATAACGTTGATCTGCAATAACTGTGGCAGATATAGCCACTCCATCATTGGCATGATCAGCAATAACAAAACCATCATTTAAAAACGCATCTTACTAGCTTTGCGCAAAATTACTGTTTCTCACTAGGTAAGGCCATACATTTTGTTTGAAACGTTTTGAGAAGATTTAACACAGTGTACATTGACGCTTAGTTCATGAAGTATATACTGCTAATTACCTGAACATAGCAATGAGTAAGTTGAGGAGCAGTATATTCGTCAAGATCATGTAGACCCCCATCAATATGGGCACAACGTAGCGTCCAGATTCTGATGGACACCTCAAGGTGCTGAAGTCCTTGTAGAGGGACGCGTTGTTGGTGCAGTCTTTTTGTCCTGTTCATAACAATCAAAGATGTTATATACAGTGAGACTACAATGATTCATAAATATAAGGAAAAATGCGAATAAAGTTTTTTTTTTAATTATTGTTACGTGATTGCAACCCAATTCTACAGTCGATTTGTTTCGTTTTTTAAAACATTAATGTAATATTAAAAAATTATCATCCCACTACTGTTTCGGTTTATAAAATTGATTTCTCATGTATGCTATTGCTTTTATTTTAATTCTTAAAAATACCTTCGATGTCATCTAAAAATAGTTCTCCGTAGAGATTCCAGTAGGCTCTACGTGGCAGCTGGAATAAAAGGTTCCAGGTCAGTTCTGTGTTTGGGTACAAAATGGCCTCGGATGCGATGGCGTATGAGATGACAAACACCGCGAGAATCGCTAAAAATAGGAGAAGATCACGAGCTACCTGCAGTTTAGAAAATTAAAGATATTATTTTTGAGAACCCATATTATTGTAACAAATTTAAATTATACTAAAACTTTAACAGTGAAATCTTTATTATATAGACTATTTCTTGCAGCTAACTTTTCCTTCTACATCCTCGTTCTTAATTATAATGTTGGAAGGGATTTTCTCCCAACACAATTACGAGTCAACTTGTTATACGTCATCTTGGTATACGTCATAAATTCATATAAGCAAATGGCTTTATTAACTTCAGCCGGCTTTTTTTTTCTTTCTTTGTCTATCCGAGGACAAACTAAAAGGCAGCAGTTGTTTAATTTTGCAGTTGTCTCTCCTAGAAGAGTTGCTGTTCTCTGTTATCGAGCATTCTTTGCCTTGGGGCTCGAACTCGGGACTTTTCGGTTTAGCAATCATGAGCTTTATCAACCACACCAACCACACTAGCTGCTAAAGATATCATAGAACAAATAAATTAAATTATTTACTTAAAAACATTTCTCCATCTGTTCCAGTTGTATTGTTTGAAAAACATAAAAATTTTAAATTAAGCTGATATTTTTTCGAACCAACTTTTAAAATAAAAGAAACAGTCATTACCATTTTCTTAATCATGACAATTTTTATCCCCATTTCTCTGTGCGCCGAGAAAATATGCTGCAGTCCGAAGAAATACAGTATCAAGTCCAGGCTCAATGCAATTCTTACAAACGTCATTATGTCATCGTTGAAATATACAGCAAATCTTAATGTAATGGCAATGATAAATAAGATTAGCGCCACAAAGTCCATCAAGTTATTGTCTCTGTTGAAATGCATCCTAAGCTTATAACTGAGGCTGTTTCCTTCTGTTAGAAAACACTGAAAAGGAAATTTATAAAATCACTAAATTTAGTATTAATAACCTTGTTAATTATTGTTAGCATTCCAATAGGGCTCTTAAGTAGGTCACCAACCAGTTATATGACTCACGCAGGTTATTTGAGCCGTATAACTGGTTGGTGACCTACTTACCAGCCCTATTACAATCCGTTTTATTATATTGTATTTAGTTGACAATGTATGTCTGTATTTCTTGCTTGCTTGGGCAAATCATACAACTCTTTTTAGGCAATTTTTAATGCAGCTTTTCGTTACAGATACAAACGTCTTTGATGACAACGCGAAAATATTTAATTTTTAATCTATAAGATAGTAAATTAATCAATAAATTTTAATTTAAAGATGACAAAACTGAGTGTTAACACCGAGATAACAAGGAAATATGCTTGGCAAGGACGGCTGGTTTCACCAAATAAAGCAACCGAGGGACCACGGACAGTTAGCTGTCTTTAAATGATTGCAAACAACTAATCGCCTTTAAAACAAATCATTTTACTTCTATATCGTGTCAATTTAACTAAGAACTGACTATTTTCAACTAGCAAATAAAAAATATCTATAGCAATAAGATTTTAAATGTACTAATTTTTTTAAAATCAAACAATCTTTAGTAAAAATATTGGTTGCTCTTCACGATTCTTATACATTTCAGAGACAAATACCGTGTTTAAATTAATATAAATCAATATTTTACAATCAAAATATAATGCCAGAAATTATATTTAATGTAAAAAAAAAGATATCTTGCCTCTGAAAGCTCTTCCAATCCAAAGGCAATGACCCACACAATAAGAACAAACTCCGTCCAATGGAATTGTTGTGATAGTTGAACCACAATGACGTAGCTAAAGAATCCCAGAAAAATAGCATAGGACACCTAAAAATAAACGTTTTATTTTAGCATACTTAGTCCAAGCAGAGCTCTAGATTCACAGTCTTAGGTACGAATGAGCGTTTTACTAGCTTTTATTAATTTGCTTCCTATGTCTGTCTTTATGTTTTTCTGTCTGTCATCATATAACGAAACTTCTAGCACTTTTAACTGACCGATTCGTTTCAATGCAATCTGACATAAAATTTGACTTAATTGGATGCCTAATTATTTTTCAATGAGCTAATTAAAATTTACTAAACAAAGTAGGGGGAACTACTATTATTCCGCACTATTATACGCCCATTTTCAAGTTCATTTGCTGCGTCATTTTTTTAAACTTTTTAATCAAATGTACATTGTTTTAAAAATAATTAATGTACTGAAAAAATGCATACACTCTTTTTGATAACAAGCTTTTATATAATCTATCTATCTATATACTACTAAAACTCAAGTTTGTTTACATGTTTGAATATTTTTTTTTGTCTGATTAAATACTGGAGAGAATCGGCGCTAGATGGAGAGCTGTAAAATAGTATGTATTGCGGTCAGACCCACGCTCAGACAAAATCTGTGTTTTCACAGACAAAAACATGTCTGAGTTGGGGGGACAATGGGCAGGTGAAGTAGAATTGACCTGTTTTTGTGACCTCAGCATATGAAAAGATTATGTTGTCAGACGAAGTCAGTGTTTTTAAAAGACAAAAACGTCTGAGATGTGACGCCTTTTTGAATGTGGGGGTCTGGTTATTTTGTGATGATTAGTGACAGACGTGATGTCATTTATGGATGACCCCCGAAACCCACAGTTATCTAACTAGATAACGGGTAGTCCAGTAATGCACTAAAAAGGAGGAAATAAATGATTTTCTTTAAATGTTTAATAATACATTACTACTTCAATAACTATAAAGTAAAGCGTGGGTCTGTTCCTAAATATTTGTGAAGGTACACAATAGATTTACAAGAAATGGTTGAAAAATTGATATAAAACTTTTGTATAGAATCCAACATGTATATATCAAATTTCGTTAAGTCATAGTGTTTTCTCTCCCTCTCTCTCTCTCTCTCTCTCTCTCTCTCTCTCTCTCTACCTCTCTATCTATCTCTCTCACTGTCACACAGACATATATAGACAATATTGTAAAACTAGTTGTTTTTACTCGAGTGCATCACTATACATATGCTCAGTGTATGAGAAAATAAAAAGTTTTTTTATTCTTACTTACCGCATGCAACGCGAATTTAACTTTAATAGAGTTAAATGTGTCTCTGAAACAGAAACTTTAAATTAAATATGTGGGCTGATTAAAGTTAGAAAAATTTTACACATTGTATTAACCAATCAGTGTTTTTGATCTTGAAAAAACAGATTATTAAATTAATTATTTGTATCGTTTGTTAGCTTTACAACAGAACAACAAGCTTTACAATTTTTAGTCCACTTACGAGAAATATGAAGCTTTTTCCGAAGCATTTTCTTTATTTCTCCTAATCACAACCTAAGAATGAAAAAGGAACATGTGACGTGTAAATGTATTACTTCTTCTTTGTTAATTATAATATGCAACGAGATTTCTTCAACATAATTTAATGTTGTGTGTCATCTTGCTGGATGAGTCCATGTGCTAAACCCGCAAAAGTCACTTCTGGTTCATTTGAGGAAATCGCCTTTAATTTTTATTTTATTTTGTTTGTTAGCTGTTCTTTGGATTTTCGATGTTTTACTATTATATATAAATATAATATATTTAAAAGTGTTTTTAATAGAAAAAACAACTGATATCCTGTTAATTAATAAACAATTCGATAAGAGTGACTAATTTTTTTCAAAAAGTGGACTGTTTGTAAGTGGAATAGCCTTTGATCATTCTAGAATAATCTAAAAGTCAGCGGTTGTTTGTTTTTGGGAAATGTTTTTCATACTAAATGGGCTGCTGTCACCAGCTAGCAATGCTTGTACATCCAGGGCACCAAAGTCAAATACTTTTAACATATATGCGATTTCCCCGTTTATTAAGAATTATAGATACAAATAAAGTATAACAATCAATCTTGAAAAAAAAGTTTGACAAAAAAATTAGGTCGGGGTTTTTGTA